CAGGCTGTGTGGTCAGGGCTGCCAACGGAAGCCCAACTGAGGTCATGGGCAGACAATATCTGTCATGTGATGCCATGGGGAGAGGAGCAGGGAGAGCTTGTCATAGTGTTTGAGGCCCGAGTCCCTGCCAGTGGTGGATACCTCAGAAAATTCCACTGGGCTACGGGGGCGGGTGATGACAAGAAGCAGGTGTGACTCTCTAGTCACTACGGGCCCCTAGGGTGAGACTCCTGACCCCGTGTCGCACAATGGACCCAGTGAGGCCAGAAAAGATCGTTCAGATGAGGCCTAGAGACCACAAAACCTCCAGGGCCTCTGTACCGCGTTGCTGGTCTTATTCTAGCCAAGGCCTCTCTTAGGCAACCTTAGTTGAAAGCACAGCATGTGAAACTTGCCTTGGAGATAGTCATCAGCTGCCTGTGGAAGAGGTTTCCCTGGGTTGGGCTGACGCAAGCGTCAGGGGTGGAATCACTATCTTCCAGGGGGTTAGATACCACCAAGGCCCACGGGGAAGGGCGGAAGTGGGTTTCTGTGATTTTACCAAAGCTATTCCTGTAGACTGAGTAAGAGCTCAAAGGAGACTCCCAGGGAGGAAGGGGTTCAGTTCCCATTCATAGAGGTACCAGGTACCTAGTTACCTGCAATGGGGGTAGCTGGGTAGGCCCCTGATAATCACACTGGCTTTATAGGAATGGGGTTTTTCATTGGCCCTGGTTCCTTGGGAAGCAGCAGGTATCAGGCTGCACATAAAGGGTCTCCCTTGGGTGCTGTCTGAGCCGCATCTGCCTCCTTTGAGAATGCCTTTTACTCACTTGAAGCTTACTTTCATGGGTCCAGCACCCTGCCTCAGGGGCATTTTATTCTCTGACCATCAGAGGCGTGGGTCTTCCTAACAAACTTACTCCCTGCCACTTGGCTGTCAAAACCCCTCAAGGTCACCCCAGAAACCAAACTCAAGTGAGTCCAACCCTACTGTCCCTCTCACCTCTGACCCATCTCTTTCAGGGTCTGCCCTGTCTCACAGAAGGCACAGAGGCCATGTTCCCTCTCTTCACACCAAACCTGGGATCCCAACACACTGCACCTTCCCCACCAGACAGATGGGTCCCTCACAGGCAGCCTTGTCCTAACATCCCTGTCTACAGGGTGGTGTGAACTCTGTTGAGGTGACCTTCCTGTGTAAGTTCCATCAGGCATGTTGTGTTCACCTGCCACCCAGGTGAACAGGCATGTCTTGTCCACCGCCAGCCGGTTTGTCCCTGTCTGGAAAGACCCTTCTCTGACTCTCTGACTCTGCTGGTTGTTCCCATGCTTCTCTTCAAAATACCAATTGGAGGGCTGTAGAGACGGCTCAGCTGCTAAGATCACTTGTTGCTCCTGCAGAGGACCTGGTTTCTGCACCCACATGGTGGCTCACAGCTGTCTGTAATTCCAGTTCCAGGGTCACTAATAGCCTCTTCTGACTTCTGCAGGTACTGGGAAGGCACATGGCACACATACACACATGTAGGCGAACACTACACATACAAAGCGAACTTAGAAAGTGAGAATGAACTTTCAAAAGGACAAATTTGAAAAGTCTTCCTCTGTCTTTCCCACCCTTGCTCATTCCTCAGCCCAAGGCCACCGGCTTCTACCCAACGCTGCACTACAGCTGCTTCCAGAAGCACCAAGACTTTCTCATCAGAATTCCAACAAGACACGTTCTCCTCATCCTCTTGGCCCCTTCAGCCATGCCACATCATGGCCTACGCCTGTCCCTTTCTGTGCTGTAGAGGGGACATGGCCTCTGGGGTCAATCTGACCTATTCACATTCGGTCCTGGTGATGTCACCTCTTAGTATCTTGAGCCCAGTCTCTCTAAACCTCAGTTTCCTCGTCTGCAAAATGGAGATAATAATAGCATGGCCTGATAGGCCCATCATGAAGATTAAAGAAATGAACCACAAGGGCTTGGCTCCTGGCACGTCCTAAGGGCCGCTCAGTAGACTCAGCTGTGACAGCCCTGAGCGCCATCTAGATCTCTCCATCTCTGTCAGAACCGAGTCCAACCTCTCCCCCAACCCTTTCTCTGGCTGCTTCCCAGCGATTCACCTATCTCAAACTAGGCAAAGCTTCCGGGGACACTTGGCTGCATTGTTCCCTTGCTGGCCACCAACAGGTTTCAATGCTACTAGCACGAAGCACCAATTCCCTTTCAATAAACTTTATGATGCCTTTTATTGACTAAAAAACATTGTCATTAGTATCTGAGATAACTTCTTGTCACCTTGCCCAAGTGGCTTTAAACACCTGTGCTCAGATGATCATCCCGCCTTTGCCTCTGAGCAGCTGGGACGACAGATAATGCCATCATTTGCAGTTTAGTCTCACGTTTCCAGCAAGAACAAACCCTACCAGGGCCAATGTTCTCTCCTTCCCCCCCCCCTTTTTTTCAAAAGTAAAAAAGATTTCTTTTGTGTGTGTGGTAGATGTGTACATGTATATATATATGTAGGCATGTATGTACATGCATGGTGTATACGCGCACATGTGTGGTATATGCATATGTGTGTATACATGCCTGTGTGTATATCTGTGTGTATGCGTATGTGTGCCTATGCAACTGTGTACATGTGTGCAGAGGGTATGCGTGCCAGTGCACATACATGGGGCTAGAGGAGGACCCCTGGGGCCCTGCTCTGTTACCCTCCACCCTAAGAGAGTGTCTCTCACTATACCTGGAGCTAGGCTGGCGGCCAGCAAGCACTGTAACCCTCCTGTCTCTGACAAAAGGGAAGGTCTCATTACAGCATTTTCTTAAATTTAGGTCATAAACCCTGTTTACGCCCTACTCCCTCCTGTTGTCTCTACGCTTCTAACACAACTGCTGGCAGTTTTTCATTGCTACAACACAAAACCAGGAATTTTAAGGAGGCAAAGAACTCATGTAAGAATGTTTTATCACCATGGCTTTAAAACTCATTGTTTACGCCTTTAATCCCAGCACTCAGGAGGCAGAGGCAGGTGTAGGCCATCCTGGTCTACAGAGTGAGTTCCAGGACAGCCAGGGCTACACAGAAACTCTGTCTTGAAAAACCAAAACCAAACCAAACCAAACAACCAAACGAAAACACAACAAAAAATTATAATTTTGAATTCTCTCGAAACATCTCACTTCCATGAAAATAGAGATTTTCCTCAATGAAGAACCACACTATACATGCTCTGGTCCCCAAAATGCTCATGCCAAAAGTAACAGCAAGCAATAGTGAAGAGCTCAAGAAACAAACCCCAGTCGCTGGGGCACTGGAGACTTTGCCCAAGTTAAAGCCACTGACAGATTTCAATCAGAGCTCCTCAAATATCATTGAGGGTCTTATCAAAATCAAAATCTCTGGTTCTGAAAGCCGAGAGTACAATGCTGACATTGCAGGCCTGAGAGAGGAACAGGGCGGGTAGGCCACCTTTCTCTCAAGGCCGGGGTCTGTTTTATCTACGGTGCCTGCCTGTGGCAACTGCTTAACACCAGTTGTTTGGTTGGGTGATGCCTCCTGGACATCTAGACTGGTCCTAAGTCTCCTGCGTGTTGCCTAGTGAGATTCCCTTGGTTACAGAGCATCCTCTGATCTAGATCTAGGAGTCAAGTCTCCTGGCACAAGGTCTGCTCGGTTGGGCTAGGAGTACGTGGTCTGTGGACACTCTTCCCTTCAATCCAGGTCTTTGCCTCCCTCCCCTTTGGTCTTTCACCATATTTGGTCCTGCTCTGAAGACAGAGGCGCTCAATTTCCCCTGCCTCAGCACAACGTGCTAGTCTTCATCTCTTGCTGATCGCATCGTACCACATCCCAACCCAGAGCCTGGGTCCTCCACCTGCTTCCCTGCAGCCCAGCCCAGTCATCTTGAAGAAGCATTTCTCCCCAGCCCCATCACACACATCTTTGAGCAAAGCTCCCAGCTCCCAGTGTGGCATGGCCTGCTGACATGCCCCATGGGCAAGGGAATCACCTCATCCTTCGGGGACTGTCCCCTGGCTCTCCACCCTCCTGAATTTCCCATTTTCTCTCTTGATGTGGCTTCTCGGGTCCTTTGTGGACTCCCCCATAACTGTCCCTGTTCCCTTCCCACCTTTGCAGGCCAGCACCCCGCATGCATGCTCCAGGGCAGATGGGGATACAAATCCCTCAGTATAGTTTTTCTTCAGGGAGTTGTTCTCCTCTTTCCACTTGCCCTCCTCACTCAGACTTGCCAATGCCACCTGCTAAACCTTCCAGTACAGTGCTTCCTCCAATTCCCAGGGACACCCTTCTCTAAGGCCACCTTTGTCCTTAAGTCTCCAAACCTAATTATCTGTGCCATCTGAGGGATATCCCAGCACTTACAGCCATATCTCCATCAGGGACTTTGCCCTCTAGATGTGGGCCTCGGCACAGTGTCCTATTGCCCTGTACTGACATTAGATCAGCGAAGGAGTGGGCTAGCTCCATCTACCACCTGCCAGGAATAAGGGTCAAGGAGGAAGCTGCCTAAAGACATACCTAGCTCCAGCTACCACCTGTCAGGGGACTATCCCGCTCACGGATGCTTGACTGCGTGTCAGAATGCCCACCCAGCTCAAGTCTGCTGCAGTGACTTTGGTGGCCACCTCCACCAGGTAGGGTGTACAGTAAGGACCAGGTTTGTACAAGGGCTGGTAGGATAAGGTCCCGCTGCACAGGAGGCAGGAGCTGGCTCAGAGCCAAGCTACTCACTCCCACCTCGCTTTTCCACTCTGTCCATCTCTGTGACAAAGGAAGAAGATGGCCTTTGAATAAGCAAGCAGTCTTGCTTCCCATGGCGATGATCTCGAGTACTAGAAAGTGATGAATAAGCCTGTGGTTTGCTATGGAGGTTCCGTGTCAGATAAAGCTCCTTCCGATGCCTGTCCCCTCCCCCCTCTGCCCCTACGAGTTGTAAGCATATATAAGGTGGAGGCCACTGTGGCTTCTACAGAACCCCTCGAAGGACCAGAACGGGACACAATGGCTCTTGTGAGCTCCAACACCAGTCTCCTCTCCTTGCTGCTTCTGTTCCTGATGCTGCTCCACCAAGGACTCCAGACTCCAGTGCCGCCTTCAGTTTCAGCCTCAGGCAAAGCCAGCAAGTTGAATTGCAACATTATTGCCGAGGAGATTCTGAGTTCCATCGAAGTGAGTATCTGGGTGAGGTTGGCCTGGTGTAGGCTGATTCCAAAAGGTGCCTCAGGCTGGCTCCAATAGGTGTCACCTTAGGCTGGCTCCAACAGGTGCCTCAGGCTGGCTCCAATAGGTGTCACCTCAGGCTGGCTCCAATAGGTGTCACCTCAGGCTGGCTCCAACAGGTGTCTCAGGCTGGCTCCAATAGGTGTCACCTCAGGCTGGCTCCAGCAGGTGCCTCAGGCCAACAAGCTTCATGGTTCTTTCTGTGTCCCCACAGGAATCTGATCTCACTGAAGACAATGTCAGAATGTCACTGCAGGTAAGAGCTTGGCCCTGCTTTGGGGCATACTTGGGTCCCATCTATCTCCTGCCTGGGGGACGTCAGCCATGTCCCTCCACCCTGCTCTGCTTCAGTTTTTGTATCTGTCTCAGTGGGGTTGTTAAGAGAAACATCAATCAGCCTTACACTTAGGGTCAGTACACACAGCCTTGGCTGGAGTAACAAAAGTTACATTTTAGGACATACAATGAAAAGACAGCTGTGGGTGAACCACAGGCCTCTGGCTCCATTTTCGGTGGGGAATCGAACTGGCCAATGGGCTGTGCCCTGTGACTTTGTCCTTTGCTGGTCTTCCTCCTTAAAAACCGAGTTCCACCAGCCCCAGACATTACTTTCCTAGTTTCAGCCAGATGCAATGGTTGTGTCTCTTTTCGTTGGCTTGGACCTAACATGAAGTCCTTTCCAAGTTTGTTAGATGTCTGCATGTCCCCATCCTTGGGGGTGTGATAGGGTCCATAGGATTGTCTTTTAAGTCTCTAGAAATTCTTATTTAGGTTGAAGCATTAACCTTGGTATCTGGCATATTGGGCATAAGTATTTCCCTTGGTCAACTCTCTGCTTTTCCAGGTCTTGTCTGGGGTGGTGTGTTTTCCTCAAGTACAGAAAGATCTGCCCAGCCCTTCACACAGCCCACAGACAGCCAAGGGTTAGGACTTGGTACTTGGGAGAGGCAGGCCTTTGCCTGGGATATGTACTTGCTTTTAAGCCCAAGGTAAAGAAGGGACCAGGAATAAGGCTATACAAAAAAAAAAAAAAAACCTCTATCAGCAGGCTCAGCTCCCCAGCTGTCACCCCCTCAGCTGTCACCCCCCCAGCCCTCACCTCCCCAATTCTCCCCCCCCAGCCCTCACCTCCCCAGCTCTCACCTCCTCAGCTCTCACCTCCCCAATTCTCACCCCCAGCCCTCACCTCCCCAGCCCTCACCTCCCCAGCTCTCACCTCCTCAGCTCTCACCTCCCCAATTCTCCCCCCCTCAGTTCTCACCTCCCCAGCTCTCACCCCTCAGCTCTCATCCCCAGCTCTCACCTCCCCAGTTCTCACTTCCCTAGATCTTATCCTGCCTGCAGATCTTAACTGCCCCCCTCTCACTCCCTCAGCTCTCATACTCCCCAGCTGTCACTCACCCCCAGTTCTTACCTCTCAAGCTCTCACCTCCCCACCCCACCCCCAGCTCTCACCTCCCCAGCTTCTACACAGAGGATTCTTTGCCTTCTCAGAACGACACCTTGCGGAGAGCAAACCTGTGCGAATTCCTGAGAATGGGAAATGTATCAAAAATAGACAAACTCAAGACCAAACTTGAGGTATGTGAAACTGCTGAGTGTTTAGGGGATCCCTGCCTCCCTCCCCTCTTCTCAGCATTTAGTGGGGGAGGGAAGCAGGGCCTGCTCCTTTTTCGAGGGATCTGACTGTGTCTTGATTCTCTCCACAGATACTTGGGCGTTGCCTACCCAAGGTTGAGAGCACCTCTGAGGTAAGCTGTCCTTTCCTCGACATACCCTGCAGATAGTGCCTTTACCCCACATCCAGGCTTAGCTTGCTACAGCCCTCAGCAGCCTGCTCACCTCTAACACCCACCATCTTCTCCGGTTCTTCACAGATGACGGACATCTTCCTTACAAACGATGAGAAGGACTTTAATAAGAAACTGAGGTACTTTGTGAGCCAACTGTACGATCTGCTGCCAACACCGATCCCTACAACACCTGATCCGACCTCTGACCCGGTCACGTCTTGCTCTGTGACCATGGAATAAAAAACCAGCAGAAGTGTTGGAGTCTGAATGTCCCTCAGGGCCCACACCCAGGAGGAGGATCTCACTTTCCCGTTTGGCATCACATATATTATCAATTTATCTATTTTCTAAATTATGTCCCCATTTTACCCCATCGAGGCTATTTATTTACCTATTTATGTATTTATGTATTTATTTATTTATTACCTTCTGCAATGTGAAGTATATCTGTTACAGCTGAAGAGTGGTTTCTTCATGTCTTGAAAGAGAAAGAAATAATTCCAAGGGAGACGGGGGGTGGGATTTCATTTGTTCCTTGTGTTTTAAACGGGTTTTTAAACACTTGTGGAAATAAAAAGCTTTGAACAAATGGCTTTGTCCAGTGTCTTAGTGTGGCGTCATCTGTGTGCCAGTCCCAGATGAGACTTGTGGGCCATGCTCTTTGGGTGTAGGGTAGAGGCTGCCCATCTGAGCTCCCTCTCCCATCCCCTGCACAGAGGACCGATCTCAACTCCAATATCACAAGCAGCCACACAGCATGCAACATGTGCCAGATGTTAGTCTGGGCACTTCCCCTGTACTCTTTAGTACATTCCTCATTCTAAACTAGAGTGTGTGATCTCTGTCTTATGGGAATACTTAAGTCCTGTGTGGCAAAGCAAGGGCGCGCTGCTGAAGACTGAAATCCCATGGAATGCCTCCCCTAGTGGTCACGCCTAAAACTGCAGCAATACCCGCAACTTCTCCTGCAGTGGAACTCTAGGTCCACACATGGCGGAACCCTCTGAGGATGCAGGCTACTCAGACCCAGAAATCCTACTCCTTCCAGAAGTTTCCATGCCTTCCTGGGCTTCCAGCTTCTCTTGACTGATGTAGTCTCCCTACACTGTGCCTGACTCCAAACTGGCCCTGGAACACACGGCCTGTTGAGCCAGACTGAGCTTTCAAAATGAGTCTTTGACCACTAATCCCAAATCTTTGGGGGCTTCATGGATTTGTACACAGTCTGTATCCTAAGGCTGTCAGAAGGGACCCACCTTCACCTCTTGGGTTTCCCCATGTATATCAACTTCATGGGAGTTCCAGACACCCCATGGCCCCACCTCAAACATTTGTAGGACCACCACTGCTACTCCGGATTGTCCCAGCTGACTCACGAAGGACTCTTCTCTGAAAGCCAAGGGCAGACAGGGACCCACAAGAGGAGCAGTCTGGATGGTGGAGACCCAGATGGCACTAAAGTGGGGTTCAGGTTGCCGCCTAATTCTCTAATCCTGTGTGCTTCCATGTCTAGCTTCCTGCACCCTTCCTGGTGAGTCCTCAAGTCTAGGATCCGGTGGAGGAGGGGTGGGGGACCACAAGAGGCCAGATGAGCCATCTTCCTCGTCACCTTGCTGGGAAGTAGTGGTCTCCCTAGTTCCTCAAGAGTCCCATAAAGGCAGTTTTAGGCACTGACATCAGACCCTGGGGGCTTATTCCCTTTATTTTTCTTTTCTATCTTTATCTCTTTAAGTTCCAAGTGAGAAACATCCCAGTTGATTGAAGATGTAGGAAGATGTGGGCTACTAGCTCAGAAATGTATTCTTCTACATCCTTCCTTCACTTTTAAATTTCCAAAGAAATAAATCTCTCTTTGCGCCGCCCCCTCCCCAGACAGACTCACCCAGAAGGGCAGAGAAATGAGACATTGCTGCAGTTCTTTAAATGACCACTAGAGGGAGATAAGTCTCTAGTCTTAGGGTACTCCTAGGCGTTGTGGGAAAGATGTCCAGCAATTTGGAATTAGACCAGATTACTCAGTTCTCCTAAGTATCCATTTCTACCCACTTGCCTTCACTCACAGATTTTTTTTGGTCTGGTCCTATTTTCATCCTATCTGAGACAACCTCTGTGCCCCACTCCTTGTCCCTATGACAAGGCACAGCTTGTCATCAATCTCACCTTCCTCTGCGGTCTGCTACCCACTGCCCTGTCCAGCCATGCTTCTCCCGTAACTAGTCCACAGAGATTCAAAGTCAGTGATGAACTTGAGACCCGCTCACACTGGCTCCTGGAGCCAATTGTTAAATGTTTAAAAAGAAATCGCAGAACTTCCTGGGTAAGGCGGCAGATTAGCAGCAGCATGTGCGTGCATAGATGAAAACTAGATAAACCCACAATAGAGCCATTCACATAGGAAAGGGAGCTAAAGAAAACAGAAATAAGCCAGGATAGAAGTTTCTTCACAAGAGGAGCCAAGTCTCTGGTATCAGGCACAACTCTGCTCCTGCTGGCCAGTTACACATTGCCTCAGGAACTAGAGAGAGGGGTCCAGGCTCTGGAAACACACTCGGAGGCTGGATAGGCCTGCACAGATTGCAGCTGGAGCAACTCAGACCCAGAGGCTAGGATCAGGAGATACCCACCAGAGAAGACAAATGGCCTCCCCCGCCCCTGCCTGGTGAGCTGCGCAGGACCATGAGAGTGCTGTGGGACTTGGCTGGGGCTTTGATGGAACACAAAGGTAAGCACAAGTGTGCAGGCCTCACAGGCTCCAGAGCCCAATCCTTAGAACACCAGAGGCAAGGCTGTAGCTCGCAAGTAGCAGGCTTCAGAGCAGGGAATGCTGGCAGAGAGTGAACTTTAGCAATGAGATCTCTCTCATTTTGAAGGACACATTGACTTAACTTGCGTGAATTACTGAGAGTAGCAACCCCCTTCCCACTTGTGGGGTCCTATGCACCTACAGTCCTTTTTTTTTTTCAGTCGCTTCTTTACTCCATGACTCGAGCCTGAGGCCTTCCTTCTCTACCTCACCGCCTCATACCCCTTTCTCCATTTCTTCCCCATTTCACCAGTTATGTATTGATACCCTTAGCTCTAAAAGAAATGATAAGACACACTTTCCACAGCCAGTGCCTAGCAATGTTGTATCTGAACTTCATCAAGGACACCCCCAAAGTGCACACAAATCTTCTGCAAGTCAACAGCAGGACAGCTGTTAACTCATGTATGTTACCAGCCTTGGCTCCCGTCTTAATAACAGCATGGGTAGCCAGCTCACCAGGAAGACTCGCATAAAACAAAACAAGCAAACAAGAGGAGTAGAGAATAGAATCTGGAGGACATATCTATCCTAACAGATGCACGAAACACAACAAAGAATCACAAAAACTAAAACTCACTACAGCGCCGCCGTCACTAGCTCCCAACTCCTCTGTCTTTAGATAATGAAATAACTGAAATTCCAGAAGATCACCATGTCTAACACTCTACCCCACACACACTGCCTAAAGCAGTTAAGAAATCAATTCAGTACTGAAACAAACAAAAACCATCAAAGAGAAACTGATGAGTAACTTAGAGGAAAAATACAAACCCATGAAAAAAAAAATACCCAGCAAGGAAATTGAAACACTGAAAAAAGAACCAAACAGAACGTTTTAGGAGTGAAAGAACCAGCAAACCAGATTTAGAAAGACAGTGGACGGCATGGTGAGATTGCTCAGGGGGCAGAGGCGCTCATGTCCAGGTGTAACAACCCAAGTTTGATCCCTAAAGTCCAACCACAGGTGACAGGAGAGAACCAACCCCAAGATTGTTCTCTGACCTCCACACTTTCCACACTTGCATTATGGGACACACGCGCCTGCATTCATACACACACACACACACACACACACACACACACACACACATTTGAAAATCAGTAAAGTCATTGACAGATGAGCAAGCTGAAGAATGAATTTCAGGGCGGGGGAACAAGGTCATAATAATACGTTCAGACATACAGAAAGACAAAGGGGAAGACATAGCCAACTACGGACTCCAGGATACGCATTCAAGAGATCAAAGGCTGAAGTAGCAATAAAAACCCTCCCAATAAAGAAAGTCCTGGAACTTCAAGCGTTCACTGTCAAATTCTATCAGACCCTTGAGGAGGCACTAACCCCAGTGTCCCACGAACAGTCCATAAAACAGAAAGGGAACGGCTAACAGAGAATAACAGCAACTGCAAAATTCAGTCCAAGCTCAGTATTACCCTGACACCAAAGCCAGATAAGGACACAACAAATGGTAAAACTATAGGCCAATTTCCCCAGTGAACACACACGCACATGCGCGCGCACACACACACACACACACACTACCAATAAAATATTTGCAAACTGAATTTAAGAACATATTAAGAAGATCATAACATCATGACCAGATTGGTTTCATATCACAGATGCAAGTTTGAGTCAACATACATAAATCAATAAGTACACGACACAAACAGACTTAAGGACAGAGTCATATTGTCATCTCTATAGGTACAGAAAAGACGTTTGACAAAGTTCAACATGCCTTCATGACAAAAAGTCCTAAAGAATTTTAGAAGGAGCATACCTCAACATAATAAATATCGCATGTGGAAAACCTGTCATCAACAATATGCTAAACAGGCAAACACGGGGAGCATTTCTTCAAAATCTTGAACAGGATAAGGGCGTTCACTTTCTCCACTTTTATTCAGTGTAGGGTTTCAAGTCCTAGCCAGAGCAGTAGGCATGGAAAAGAAATAAAAACAGATACAGAGACTAGCGAAGTCAAATCATCCGTATCCGCAGATGGCATGAATATGCTTAGAATTTTCAACAGAAAAGCCTTAGACGTGACAGGTCTCCGCAGCAAAGTTTCAGAACACAAAATCTACACACAAAGGTCAGCAGCTTTTCTGCGTGCTAATAATACATTTTCTGAGAAAGAAACTAGAGAAACACACCAATCGCAACAGCTCCAAGGTTTCAAATACCCAGACAGGAGACTATAAACCTAGTCAATGAGATGACAGAATCCCACAGTGAAAACCTGGAGGACACTGAAACTAGAAATTATTGGCAAAATAAATATTGTGAAAATGGTTACATTACCAAAAATAGTCGATGGTTTCAATGTGATTTCCACCAAAATTCCAGTGACATTCTTCTCAGAACCAGAAAAAAAATTTAATTTTCTTATACACTCAGCTTAGAGAATAATAGGCAGAAAGAATAATG